AGACTCAAACAGGTTTAATGCTCCAGTCTCAGGGGCAGCTGTGTAGTTCACCGACATCTTTGTCCTGCAGTCTCTCTACATCAGCAGCAATGCAGACATGGTGGATTATAGGGTAAGCAAACTGCTCCAGTGCTGTTCCCAGCTCTGTGTCAGCAATGTAAGTATGGTCAATGCATGTCCACTTCCCATAATCTCAGTCATCCTGAGAAACTTTTGTTAGACTGCATTTTAAATATGTCCTTACCTCCTTAGCTTGGGATCAATGCTAACAAACTTATCACATTATCTGGTGTGTGTGTGTTGTGTGTAGCTTTTTCACTTAGATTTTCCTGCTCTGTAACAATTCTTCCTTTTCTAGAGATGAAAATTAAATAACACCAAATGCCAGAAATCAGCTGTGGGAAGTGGGAGAAGAAAGGTCTCAGAAACCAAGAAGAAAGCTTTATAGGAATTTCAGGAAGTTCACAGGGAACTGAAATCCCACTAGTGCCCTGGGGACAGGGATGGGGGTGGGGTAGGATACAACTCAAGCCTCTAGCAACAAGAGCCCAAGGCCAGTATAGGATTGAGGGGCAGACAGAATGAAAATTGGCTCAAGGGTTTGTCTGCATTCTGCAGGAAGACCACCCAAAATGACAAAGCAAGATAAAGTTCCAGAACACATGCTTCTCTTTTGCCTTGCAAAAATAAGCGTAAGTTAGAAAGTTGCATTGCAATTCAAGTCTCTCCTTAAAATATCACAGTCCATGCATGCATAACCTCTTTTGCTAGAAATTTTCCTTCATTAATTTTTTAAATGGTAGGATGCAAATTCTATACTACCGTACTGTTATAGCTCTATAATATTTAAGTGAAAAACCATATTCTAAAGATATATACAAATGAGCTGCCACTATTCTAACACATTAGCTACCCACAGCAACCATTTCTTCCCTTGCATTAGGAAGAATAATCAAGACTTAATGTATTTCCTTTCTTTTCACTGGAAACATATACTATGTGAAAACTGTCATCACTCTAGTAGAATACAAATGGAGAATCATTTATTGCCTACATCAGAATTCTTTACAAGGTGAGCTTTTAAAAATATCAAGTAGCTTACGAGTAATTAGGTGGAATTTTCATTTATATATTTTTCAGTCTTCTACTCGGCAATAATGTGTTAGGCTGCAGAAACAATGCCAGAAAAGAAAGACATGGTCTGTACCTTCAGTAGTCTTGTAGTATAGCTATATTGATATCTAGATTTAAATCAATTGAGCAGTTATGCCATTTCCTAAGGAAAGACCTCTTAACATTCCAGTGTTTTTATAGCCATTTGGATGAAGCCACTAACTAGTTTGGGGTCTTAAACCACTTAACTTGTAAGCCTTCTATTCCTGAGGTGGAAAGCAAGTGGTGCCAGTTACTGATGACTCTATTCTCACAACCCGTTCCCAAGATACGGTTCTTTCATTACATCTTTTAATCTTCATTATCATCTGCAGTGAGAGAGGAATTTTGAAAGGTGATGAAATAGCTAGGAGAATGCCAAGAGCTGGAAAATCTGAGTACCAGTTTTGATACAGTGCCTGAGTGTTGAAAATTATAGATAGAACACAAAACAGCATGGGGACAGGCTTGTTGCTTGTGAGGGTAGTGACACTGGGCAAGCTAATTGAAGAGAGATTATTGACATCTATTATGCAGTCTCCTGATCTGTAAAACTACAATGCCTCATATGTCCACTGGATGCTCAGCAGACAGGGCCTAGATTTATGTTATACTGCAGGAAATAGTTCATATACAACCATGCTGTTGTAGATGGAATAACAAGTTCAACAAGATCAGAATCCTCTGCTTGTTGGCACTTGGTCACCTCAGAGCTCTTTATCATTGACACTTGAGTGTAGGCGTCACCCTGACCAAGCCTCCTGGGGCTGGCTACAGGTATACCTGGCCACACCCCCTAGGGCGTGGACAGGATGATGTGGATGTAGCTTAAGAATCGGGGACACACGTGAGAATTCGCTCTTCTCCCTGCTGCGTCCACTTGCTCTACTTTCCTGCTGGTTGACTAGGAGCACTGTAAGCAAGGCAGATTTACCCAATAAATATACCCGTACCCTATCGGTTACGTATTGGTGAATCTCCTTTTATACTTGAGTGTGTTGTACCTACATTTCTTAGCGGAATAGGGTTGTGCTTTTGTAAAAGCCAACAACTGGAGTCAGTCTTCTCACTAAGGCCATATTGTTTTTTACCCAGTGATTAAGCCACACAGTGATCTGGTGATTCAATTCTGTTTTGAATGGTTCTTGATTTTTTTTTGGCCATACTTCATTAATGAAAACAAATACTGTCGTATTTTCCAAACACAGAAAGCTAGGTAGGACAACTTACTATTACTGGAAATTATTGATTACATGTTACATATGCATCCTTGATGCTTAAATTCTACTCTTTTCAGCCTTTCTTCTATTAGCTTAAAATTCCAAAATTGTTGATAAACATTGTAGGGGCTTGAGAGATTGATCAGTGATTAACAGTGCATCTGGCTTATTATGGTTTGGATGAGAATGTCCTCCCTGGGCTTATACATTTGAACACCGAGTTTACAGTTGAAGGTGCTGTTTGGGCAGAGCTAAGGGATGCAGCCTTGATGAGGAAGGACATCACTCAGGGCAGGTGAAATTTCCAAGCCTCTTGTCATTTCTGGTGCTGTCCCTCTCGGCTTCTCATGTGTGTTTTAAGAGTAGAGCTCTCTGCATTCCCCTTCTTGCCATTATGCCCACTCCTGTCGTCACTCACTTCACCACCATAGCATTTATCCTCATGGACCCGGAAGTCAAAATAAACCCTCTCTTCCCTAAGTTGCCTTGGTCAGAATGTTTTTTCAGAGCAACAGAAAAGTAACCAAGGCCCTATTACTTTTTCAGAGGACCTGAGTTTGGGTCCTGGGGCTTGGGTTGGTGGCTAATGCCTTCAAGTACAGCTCTAGGTGATCCAGCACCTGTAGACTGAGGGCACATGCGCTCGCATGCCCATAATGCCCCACACAAGTACACAAAATATAATATAAATGAATCTTTAAAAGATAAGCATGATGGAGCAGGCCACTTGGGAGGTTGAGGGAAAAGAAATGCTTCAAGTTTAAGATCAACCTTGGGAACTTTGTGAGAACTTGTCTCACACAAAACAAAACACGACTGCCAGAGAGTTTCATTGCTGTTGCTACAGAAGAGTTCCAAAGAAGGGATACACGATATATTTGTTATCAATGCTTTATTGTTCAAAACAAAATGGAAATTCTCTGGCACATAAAACAATTATTTCTACAAAAGGAAAGCCTACAAATCTTGATAATTTATACAAATAACAGTTTTTCAAAAAATAAAATTTTAATTTAGTAAACTTGTCTTGTGCTCTACGATTTTTTAGCACTGTCTGCAATGATCCCCCATAAATCCCTGAGCAGAGTCATTTTGATCACGTTTCTAACAACCCAGCCCCTCCCTTCCCCTCCCCGAGTTGGTCAGTTACTACGTCCAGCCCTGTAGTGTTGGGGACATGTAGGTATTAAAGATCCATGCGTTTTATGATGCAGGCCCAATTATAAACACCACTTGGAAGCTGAGTCATGTGAAGTGTGGGTACTGTGAATTCATTCAGTGAACCTAAAGGAACCAAATGTTGGAAAAAAGAAACAGTAACAATAAAGACATAAAATGTAACCACAACAACTATTTAAATAAATAAATGTTAGACACATTGAATTTATCTTTATAGCCTTATATTAAATTCTTTTTTTTCTTCCTTTTGTCCTAATTGCCAATGCATTAGAAAATGAAATGTATACTTCAACCCACTATTTTGGTTGACCAGGGATTTGCTGTTGTTAATGCTAAATATTATCCTGACAACATAGTGATTTAGTTATAATTTAACTTCTGGCCTTTAAGTGAAATGCTTACAAAATAATATACACATTACAGAGGGCTTTCTCATTAATCTCATCAAAAACTCTCACTACATTTGTCCTTCTCACAAAGAGACTAATGTCATAGGACTACTACTTCAAATTCTTTATCCACTGTATTCAGATACATGACACAATGTATAATATAGGGAAAAACATAGTATTTTTTGCATGTCCAGCTTCCCTTTAATAGAATCACTGATCATATATGTATATATACAGGAAGTATAAAAGGGAAGGAGAAAAAGCTAATTTTTAGTTGCAAAAAACAGGCTTCACAAATCTTTTTTTTTTGTTGTTATTTTGCAATGTTGGATAATAAATAAATAAATATGTAGGGTATATAATAGTTAATTTCTCTATAAAAGAAGTTGCTAATGAACTGGTATTCTTCCAGGAATTTAATTTTTAGTAGCAAATTTTAAGTACAAGCCAAAAATGTTGAAGAAAATTTTTCTTTTCATTTTATAGTTTTTAACTTATAAAATGATCATTGAAACACCTAATAGTAGGTAAGTAAGGAAAAAAAGACTCAGTTTTCTATTGGAAAATGCCTTTCATCTGAGAAAAACATTTGGCAGAAGACAAAGATAAATGCAAGCTGATGCTTACCTCTATAGCATCTTAAAATAATTATTTTTGACATCTTTCAGGAAGAACACAGTAAGATAATCTTCAAGGACTTATCTGTGTTACTGTTTAGGCATCTGTTAGGAATTGATGGGCATTTTACACCAACTCTTTCCAAAACACAAAATCATTGACAACAATTCTTGTGTACTCAACCTTCATTGACTTATGATAACAACCACTGTCTAGGAAGCACCAAGGAATGTGCTGTATTTAGTCACTACCAGATACTGGGACTGGGACACTCATAGCATCCCTTGTTTCAGCCTCAGTGAGCATGTGAATTAACGAGTAATAGACATTGTAAATGGTAATTTCAAAGGAATGAATGCGATGAGATCTACTGAACAGTTTTGGAGAAAATACCAGCAATATCAAAATGAAAATGCCTGTGACACACACCCAAGGCCTCCCTAGGCCTCGAATACTCATACCACCTGCATGAATGCTTAGCTCTTCTCTCCATGTTCTTTCTGAGACATGACAGACAAATGTTCAACACTGGGAAGGAAGCCTAGGACAGTCAAACCATAAATATTTATGTGAATGAATCAAGGAACAACTGCAGATTCCAACAGATCCTGACACAATGTGAAAACTGAAATTTGATAAGCTTCAGAAATCACTAAGCAGGCTGTCCCAGAGAGGGAAGACAGCAGCGTAAGGACAACCGGTGGCCCACTGGGATTCACACTATGCTTACTCACCTCCATTCACACTTAACCTTAAGAGTTCACTGTGGCTGGATGGGCTCTCTGACTTCCTCTCACAGTGTTTAAGGAACAATATAATTTCAAAATTCTCTTTCAAAAGCGAACAACCTCTGCAACTGAGATTTCCCCTCCCTTCTAAGAATGCCAAAAGTCCCATTAAGTAATCCCATTTACAGTCTACGGGTAACAATTACACCCTCCAGGAGGTTTTCAATGTTCCCTTTTTTGGTGTTAAGAGCTGTGCCCACAGCAAAGTGTATTGATTCTCCCAGCAGTGGCAGTAACCATGACGACCTCTGTCCTGGGCTTGAAGTATGCATTGAACTTTTATCACAGCATTGCTGGGAAGTTCTGTTAATGAAGCCAGCTTTGACAAGCATGGGAGAAGATTAGTCTTCTTGGGTCAGGTCTTGGAGGTCTTCAAGCCTTGCTTTTCCATGATGTTCCACAGCTTTCGGAGATTCGACTGAGTAATGGCATCATCAGGCTTGAGTTGCAGAGCCCTTAAGTAGTTGGCCTCAGCCTTCTGGAGCCTGCCATTGAGATGCAGAATGGCTCCTAGGTTCATGAGGGCAGCCGGATACTGTAACAAAGAGAGAGGTGGTGAGAGATAAAGAGGCCATTTCAAGATCTCCTTCAGGGAAGACGATGGCCCTAATCCTCTTATACTGAAGGGACCAGCTTCCCTTTTGGCAGCCATAACGGTCGAACGCGTGCTTCTATGACCTTGTTCTAGACACTAGAAAGTCAGATGCCTGTCTTGTGACAAGGAACCAATCAGAAGTTAACTGGTGGCGCTATGCTTTATGACCCTGGGTGTGCTTTGCAGACAAGCGCACAGCAATGACGTAGAGAGCATAGCAACCACCCTGGGAGGGCCTATGGGCCATAATAACCAGTTGACCAATCAACACAGGGCAAGCCCTCCAAGCCTGGAGGCACACTAATTGTGAGCCTGTGCATACCCCTAGACACTCCCCTTACACTGTCCTATAAGATCTCTCGGGAGCCCCTAGGAGCCGTCTTTTGCTAGCCATCCACCATGGCGCACCCGAGCTAACCATGAAAGACCCGAGCTAACATGGGGTTAGCTCGTTAAATTATGATAAAGCCTCGTGCAGTTTGCATCAAGCTCTCGAATCTGCCTGGTGATTGGGGTGACCGAGAACGTGGCCTGGGACCCCGGGTACTTGAGTTTTCCGGGGTCTAACAATACAATAAGTCCCATGTCTAGAGGCATCTGATGGAAGCAATTTTCCAACTTATACAAATAGAAACTTATACAAATAAAGCTATATGCTTTATACTTTATGTAGGGCAGGCAGTTAGGAAATGCATCTTTTTTTTTTTTTTTTCTTTAATGGCAAAGCATAGGTAACATAAAATAAGACTGAATAACCTAGTTAGACTGATTTTTGGAAAACAAAACAAAAAGACTTTCAATGTTATCAGGCCATGATGGTACATCCCTCCACCCCTATCAAGAGTTGATGGATATCCTTGCTATGGTGATATTTTGTTTGTACTTTAACAAATAAAGCTTGCCTAAAGGTCAGAGTGTGGAGTTAGCCACAAGTTAGCCATAGAGACCAGGCAGTGGTGGCACATACCTTTAATCCCAGCACTGGGGAGGCAAAGGCAGGTGGAATTCTGTGAGTTTAAGGCCACCCTGGGCTACACGAGATTGATCCAGTCTAAAAGAGAAACAGAGCAGTGGCTCATACCTTTTAATCCCAGTATTTAGGTGTTACATGCCTTTAATCCCAGCACTAGGGGGTTGGAGACATGAGTGATATGGGTGTGCAGAGAGAGGAATGTAAGGCGGGAGGAAACAGGGAGTTCACTGCATTTAGTCTGAGGATTCCTAGAGACAGAGTCATGCATTCAACTTGGGGATTCGTAGGGACAGGATCTCCCCTTTTACCTGAGAATTCAGTAGAGGTAAGCTCTAGTGGCTGGATGCTCTGTTTGTGCTTTGTTTCTTAAAGCACAAACAAAGTATCACCACACCTTGGCTACATCAAGAGAGCTATAGGGCAGCATGGACTACATAAGGCTCTGTTTGATAACAAACAAATTTAAATAAATGCAATTTCAATAGAATTGGTCTTCTGAAAAATCCTCAAATATAAGTTAGTAACAGAGTGCTTGCCTGGCATGCTTGATACTCTGGGTTCAAGCCCCAGCACCTCAACACAGAAGCAAAGCTAAAAGTATATCTCAAAGATGAGACGTGGAAACTTGAGTGAAAAATCTACGTCCATGCTGTCTTGTTTCTTCTTGGGTATATATTCTAGGCTTTCTATTTATAAACATCAAGCTATGAGATTTACTGATATTTTCAGAGCAAAAGCCCTGAAAAAAATTAAATTTAAAGTTAACATCTTTCCCAAACCTAAACTATTTCCCAAGACAAGTACCTTACATTTAAAAATTTTAAATTGTTCTAGTATTCTAATGGTGAATGTTGATATAAATATGTCAAAGTAAATAATACCAAAAACAGATTTAAAATATGGCATAAGAAACTGTACATTTAAAAAAATCCATTTTTTATAACTTGTTGAAACGTACTTAAAGGATATGATAGACTCTAATGACCCCCTATGGAAGGCCTCACCCTCCCTGGGGAGCAGAAAGGATATGTGATAAGTAGGGTTTTAGTTGGGAGGAGAGTGGTAGGGGAGGAGGGGAAGGAGAGGGAACTGGGATTGACATGTAAAGCAATCTTGTTTCTAATTCAAGTAAAACAAAAAGGGAAAAAAAGTACTTAAGGAAGAAGAAAAATACCTTAAGTAATGGTTATACCATGGCAAGTGAAATATAAAACTATATCATGTAAAAAATGGTAAGAATTTTTAAAAAATAAAGACTATGGTAGCCATAGTTTACTGCAAGGATTTGTGTGTGTGTGTGTGTGTCTCCAAATTCTCAGATATCTGCTAATGAAAGTATACAGTAATGGAAAATTATTTTGTTTGCTATCCAAAAATATTGGGACTGCTGCCTTGTTTGTGTCTTTAGGAGGCTCTTGCTATTAGAAAGCAAACGTTTTAATGCATATTTCAAATATCAGATTGAAGGGACCTGCTCCCCTTTCGGCAGCCATAACAGCCGAACACGTGCTTGCCATAAACCTGCCTTGGTCACTTAGAGGTCAGATGCCTGTCTCGTGACAAGGAACCCATCAGAAGTTAGCTGGTGGCGCTATGCTTTATGACCCTGGGTGTGCTTTACGGACAAGCGCACAGCAATGACGTAGAGAGCATAGCAACCACCCTGGGAGGGCCTATGGGCCATAATAACCAGTTGACCAATCAACACAGGGCAAGCCCTCCAAGCCTGGAGGCACACCAATCCTGAGCCTGTGCGTACCCCTAGACACTCCCCTTACACTGTCCTATAAGATCTCTCGGGAGCCCCGAGGAGCCGTCTTTTGTTAGCCATCCACCATGGCGGGTGGGTGAAAGACCCGAGCTAACATGGGGTTAGCTCGTTAAATTACAATAAAGCCTCGTGCAGTTTGCATCAAGCTCTCGAATCCGCCTGGTGATTGGGGTGACCGTGAACGTGGCCTGGGACCCCGATACTTGAGTTTTCGGGGGTCTAACAAGATAAACAATGTTTATATGCTATGACTGTGCATTCTCTCTGAAGATAGTGTCAACCATTAATTGTCCTTCACTCTGCAAAAGCCAAAGATAATTTCCAATCATTTTATGATTTAGTATTTTTACAATGCATGCATTTTTTTTAGCTGAATTCATTTGACACTACTGTTTACTATGAAAACAATTACTTCTGAATCAAATCAATGCTGGGGAGAGTGGAATAGCTTACAGCAAACAAAGGGAGAGAAACATGATCAGATTTCAGTTCACAGAGATCTGGGTTTGAGTTCTTGCTTAACAATTGTGACGTTGGTGAAATGGGCTAATGTCCCTGTACCCCAATTTTTGAATGTTCTTAGAAATCCATGAAAATGGTAAGCAGATCCATATAGCAGAATATAGTCACAAAGTAGATATCCTACAAACGTCATGGTCATTTTCCCTACTCTGACTCCACTGGCTAGACAATGTCTCTGTGTACACATAAAATTCTCTTTAATTCTAAACTACTAGCCATTACTTTCAAGATTTCCTACATTCTTTTTTCTGTCCAAAAATAATATCACAAATAATAAGCTATGCCTGATTTTCACCAACCTTTTGGCTAGGATGACTTCATACTTGTGAAGAAAAATACAGATGGTCAGTCTCTAATTTTAAAACCAATTCAATACACCCAGCTCTAAATTACATGGCAGTGTAAAGCTCTACACTGGAAACCAAAATAACCCCACCCACTTCATCTTCGAAAGGAATTCTGCTATCACACTGCCATTATCTCAAGGTCCTCAACGCCTGAACACATCTCTGAATTATGTCTCCTCACAGTGCTTGATATGACTATCAATAAACAGCTACTAAACTTTAGTATGTGTGTATTCACAGCCCAAAATACTACAGATGCTAAAATAGAGTGGGAGAATCACTGTTGGAGGCCATTTCTTGTTAACCAGAAGTAGAAGCAGCCCAGGAACTGGGCTGAAAGAAACCAGATGGCTGTGGGACCGTCCTTATTTCTTGAACTCCAGTGTTAGCAATATGTCTCTACCTATAGTATATGCCTCAAATGGCAATACAGGGAGATTATATGTAGCACTCAGGGATTATGCATTCAGATAGCCTACTTCACATGCCAGCTCTACCATACAGAAATGTACATCTGGACAAGCTGGGTGTAGTCTTGGGACCTTAATTTTTGTCCAAGTATCATGACAGAAGTATTTACTTTATCCACTTATTAGATTAGATGATAATAAAATCACAATACTTCTTTGCCCACTTTGCCTTATCCCTTTAGAATTGCAAACCCAAATCTCTTTCTGACTGTCCCTGAACAAGACGTACTGGGGTTTCCTAACTGCTTGTGTCTGCATTAACTTCCTAGTCTTTTTGAGGCTGTTCTTCTAAGAGATAGAAATGACAACCTTTTGGGATGTACACCATCCAAACTACACACATATACTGTATTATTGCTTCTAAACTACAGTGCAGGGGGTTCTTCTGTCCTTAGAAATTATCTTCCTACCATAAGCTGATGAGTAAATATTAATATTTAATATTATTCTAAGAAAACACAAAAAGGAAGCTAAATCTGTTTGATGAATGATTTCTGAATGCTAATTACAATGGTGCTTCTGGAACTTGGTATTTCACACCCTAAAATGTTATTCATGAAACAAAGTAATCATACATCTATATTATGAAGTTAATGTGTTATGGGAGGTCAAGGAAAGTCATTTATATTTGTTAGTTGCATACCCTAAAGAGCAAAAAGATCTGCAAACTAGGTATGTGCTACTTAAGGATATACACAGTTTAAGAGATCACATATCTATTTATAATCATAATGTTTTATAATGGACAGAAATACCTATCTTAGTAGGGAAATTAGATATTCAAAATCCTATATAATATACTGAATACTACATCCTATAACTTACCTGAGTAAATGGTAAAATATGACTGAAATAAT